GGGGCAAGGTTATGGTCATTGCTTGGTCACAGCCAGCTACCCAGAGGGACCGAGTAGTTGATCCTGCGGGCTTGGGACCATAGTTGCAGGGGACATCAGGCTCAATTGGCATAACATACTATACAAAACATTGTTCCACCTCCTACTTTGGCGAGTAGCAACTGGGATCTTAAAAGCTAGCAAGCTGCCATCTAGATGCAACAATGGGTGTCTCCTCGTCAAGAAGAAAGAAGAAAACCAAATGAATGGAAACAATCAGTCCTAGCGACTGGTACACCATCTGATCTGCAACCTGTACAACTATGAGACCAGAAGAACTAGATGGTGCCCGGCTACCACTGTCATCCACTTGAAAGGGATGTAGGAGATCCTGCATAGAGAGGGAGAACAATGTGGAACAAAACTCAAAATCATTTGGAGGCAAAAAAAAAAAAAAAAAAAGGTGGGGACCAGGTTTGCTGGTCCAATAGAGCCTAGTGAAACCACTGAGACTATGGCCCCTAGCTGCCCTTCAGGTCTGGAATTGAACACACACCTGTGGTTTCCAGCCAAACAAAGAACAGGCAAGTGAGTTAAACATTTCCCTCAAGTAGACACACACCCTGGAGAGAACAATTATGGGAGAAGGAAGGGCTGCCTATGCACAGGGAGACAGCTCAGGGTGCAGAAGAGTATGGAGGGATGGACACTAGGAAGAGGTAACTATGGGGAGGAAGTGGGAGGGGAGCTGTTGCATTGTAAATTTTGGTCAATGACATGAGACAAAGTATATGTGAACTGCTGAATGAAAAGTGAATTTACTCTGTAAATCTTCACCCAAATCAAAATAAAATTAAAAAGTGATGAGAAAAAAAAAAAAAAAGAATGATTACTCTGGAGGAAGAAGGAAGGGTTAGTGACTGGATGGGGAATGGGGAGCTTTTTTAGGGCTAGTAATATTGTATTTCTTGACCTAGGTTGTAATTACAAAGGTGTGTTCACTTTGTGATAATTCATTGAACTGTACAATCATAATTTGGGTACATTTCTGTACATATGTTATCCTTCAAGAAAAATTTTACAATAAAAAACTTCTGACAGGAAAAAAAAAAAAAAAAAGAAAGTCCCACAATTGGTGGAGCATGGCAGGCTGTTAAACAATGACTTGACTACATATAGGGTTCAAGTGTGCTAAAAGGCTAGACCATTCCCAAAGCCGCTGCTTATATACAGGAAGCAGACCACATCCCTAAAGCAGCTACTCAGCTGCTTGTGTTAGATTCCACCATGGAGTTGATTGCCAGTCTCCTCATGAGGAATAACTACCATCAGCTGCCCAGCCACTCAACCAGGCCCAGCCAAGTTGACACACAACCCTAACTACCACAAGTATCCATTACTGACTGTGGTTAACCATGGCTTCAGGTATAAATGAGTGGAGTCAACAGTAGATCAATGAGAATTCCCATGTATCTGCTAAAAACCTCAATGAAATAGTATTATTGAATCAAGTTGGAGATGGGGAGGAATTTAACTGGAATGTCAAGTCATGGATGAATAATTTTATTCTTAAAATTGTGTCACTTTTCCTTCCATATTGTGACAGCAGTCACTTCAAAGAAATTTACCAGTACCAGTTGCTGTTGAGTTGTTGCTAATGTTTGGGGGAATGCATGGGCAGTCCTGCTGCCTTCTAAGAATGACAGGAAAATATTTGGAAGGGGGCATTCACTTTTCAGAGGAAGCAGCATGCATAAAGAATGCTCTACTCTGTTTTATAGGAGAATCATTAATCTTTTAGGAAAAAAAATAAGAAAAATGGGAAGTTCAAAGATTTAAAACTGGTAACATGAGGAATTCGTGTTTAACCATGTCGCAAGATGGCCCTACTATGACCTATCTCAAACGGGCTCACATGTGGAACAAGTTGGCACCTCAAGGATGGAAGATGGGAAATTAGTTTAAGAATTTGATGTTGTAAATTAGTGGGTTATGGTTTTACAATCTCCCATAGCAATTTGTCGCAACCTTAACTGATCACTTTCTGTATGTCAAGCACTGTGCTAGGTGATTTTTATACAATCTCATTGCAAATTAATCTTTATACTCCTGTGCTATATGAGGAACATCATGCAGTGACTATCTGAGGTCTCGCAATTAATACATGATGAAGCTAGTGTTTGACTCCTTTTTTTTTTAAACTGTTTCATTGATATAATCCACAATATTCACCCATGTTAAGTGGCCAAGTCAGTGATTTTTAGTTTATTCAGAGTTGTGCATCCATCTCCATTATTCTTGAAGTTTTGCAGACTTGTTTTATCCAGTGCCTAGAACAGAATTTTTCTAAGGTCAATAAAAACCAATTTCAGTTGATCAAGCAGAACTTTACTGGTAAACATGTTAAGTATTTACAGGTAAAGTTTGAGCTGAACACTTAAATTTGAAGCCTCGCTCCTTCCTTACCAGTTGTGTGACCTTATGCAAGTCCTACAACCTCTCCGTGCCTCAGTTTCCTTATCTGCCAAAAGGGGATACTAATTAAAGGAATGAATTCATTGAAAAGTATTTGGGACAGTGACTAACAGATACTAAATGCTCGATAAATGTTAGCTGGTTATTCTGTTGTTAGAAGTGTAATGATAGACCTCAAATGGTAATTGTGAATATTGCAGGATCTTGAAATAGCATCTGAATCATGAAAAATTAAATTGTGGTCAATGAAAATTTATTCTAATTCTTTGCAAATTGATGATCTATGGAATGTTAGCAATTTACTAATAAAAACTATTTCACAACTTGACTGTTTCTCAGAAGGTATTTTGCCATTAAACATTAACTGTGGCAGACTGTGGCCCAATATCCTTTTTTCCCTTCCTTGTTCATAGAGCATTAGGCTTATTCTGGGTGGCAACATCTGGGGCTGATGGACTTTATTTCTGGCCTCCCTCCCAGCTAGAGTGGCCAGACATGTAAATAGATATTGCTGAATGAAGTTTCCAGGAGAGATCCTTAGTACGGAGAGGAGACTTTTGCCCTTCTCCTCTTCCTCCTCCTGGACAGACTTAATATCTGGAGCTCCAGTAGCCATCTTAGAACCCAATTCCATCCTAACTTGCAGATGGATTCCCTTCAGTATGGAGAAGCAGAAAGATGGGAGCTGGATCCTTTGTGATGCTGTGGAGCCACCGCATGAACCAGACTGTCTCTAACTTTCACATGAGAGAAACCACCTCTTTTAATGTTATTTGGGGATTCTGTTATAGAAAAGCTGTACTTAATCCTAATTCACACTTACTTACGCTTCCCCCCTTGGTTACCCCAAAATGGACTTAATAGTATATTCCTCCTCAACACACATGTAATGAGTATCTATTGCTGTGTGCCAGTCATCGTTTTAAGGACCAGATATGCAATGATATACTGGGTATGCAAAGATGGAGACTATCTTTTATAGTCTCTGCTCTCAAGGAAGAGACATGTAATCCAATATAGGACAATGATGTCAGTGCTAGGATCAAGGGTAAGGGGAGAATGATCAATCAGGACAGCCTTAACATCCAAGAGGAAAAGACAAAATTAAGTATATTTTTTTAAAGTTATCAATGACCCATGATGTATAGCATTTCTGTGAGGCAAAGGTTTTGATTTGGATACTGAGAACATTAGCTAATCCTTCATTCTCTAAGCTCTAAATTAGGGGTGGGATGTCCTGTTACATATTAGTACCAGGTAATAGCTGTTGAGTTGATGTTACACGTTTCAATAAAGAACTAACTGGCAGATGTAGAAGGATTCAGAGGGTTAAGTCTCACAAGACACAAGTGGGAAGTAGGGACATTTGGCAAAGAGGTACGTAGTGGTATGCCTTTTCATCACAGAAAAGAGTAGTTGGAGATGTAATGGCTTCATAGTCTACCTCTGTCTAGTCCTGTGTGTTTTACTTAACCTCTTCTGATGGTCAGTGGAAGAAAGAATTGGAGGAAGGAGTAATTTGCAGCAGTGAAAAATAATGTGGAATGCTTATAACAAACAGTGCAGCAGGAGTAGTTTGTAAGAAAGGCACACAAAGACCGGGCTTACCTCTATGGCATACACGGGAACTCCCAAGATCAACTTGAGCCCTCTGATCTCTAAACATGCAGATACAAGTCTACAGTTTCTAATTTAAAGACTGTTTTGTAGAATTAAAATTTTCCTAAGGGAATGAATTATGAAATCCTGTAAAAACAGTCTTGACCCAATACAATATACTCACACTTGCCTATTAAAACTGACTCATTAACATGAAGAACAAAAATTGGGGGAGTCTTACAACTTTCATTTCTTTACAAACCAGCCAGCCAACCAACCAACCAAAAAACTGACTTGCTGGAGAAGAGAAATGCAGCTAGCTTTTACTGATAGGCATTTTCACATATATTATTTCCTTTTATCCTCTCAGAGTTACCATCTTTCATTCTGACACATGAAGACAATTAGAAAATAAGGTTAACCGACTTGCTCTAGGTCATATAACTTAGTGAGAAAAACAGGATTCAACAAAAGGGCTACACTCTCCACTTGAACTTTGAATTGTATACTGATTAAATTCAACATCAGCACCAAATATTAAATAACATTAAAAAGTAAAGTGCTCAACAACTCTACTTTTATTTGGAAAGAAAAGCTCTTTAGCTTTCAATAATGAGTATTTATACAGCCAATAAAAGTTAGAAAATGTACAGATCTGTTTGTAGAGTGTCTCTGTTCATCATATAGTACATCAATAGAAGAACTTCTATGAGATTTGGCTTTCAGTGTAGAAAAAAATCTAATAATTAAGTCTCAAATTTGTGAAGCTGCTGGCATTTCATCTCTTTTAGCCACTGCATATTTCATTAAGCCCCACAACAACAAAAAGAACTATTAACTCAAAGGAACAGATCTTATTCCAGTTCCCTTTAGGGCAGTTCAGTAGTTTCACTCCAATGAATACTGACTACAGGAAAGAAACAAACAAACAAAAAAGATTTTTTCAACCACATTTACTAGCTCACATAAATACATGAAAACAAATCCATCTCTCTTCCCTTTCTGTATCCTTGGCACAATTTATTATAGATCTTAACTAGCTAAATATCCATTGAGGGAAAATGAATTTTAAAATATCAAACAGAGGTCAATAAATAGCCCAAAATGTCAACCCTGAAAGAACCATCTATTTTTAACTCTAAGATTAAGCCAATGATTTGCAACTTTTATTAAAGTAAATTTTATCTGTAAAACAAAGTAATTTATAACTTGATCTTGACACAAGTTTTTTTTGACAGCAGTTGAATTTTTACATAAAAAATTGCAAAATTTCAACTAAAGAACAAAACATTCAGACACAAGCTTACACTTTAAAATTTTCAGCATCTACATAAACAAATAAAGAATGGCTGCATATCAATTTATGTTAGTCCTGTGGTCCAGAATATATTTTCCATTTGAAACATTTTTAATCACTCTTCATACAGCATGGACAGCTTCTAATGGGAACTGGTAATATAGTCTGTTCTTAATGAAGACAACACTAGGCAGATGTTGCCTGATGCCGGGATAATGCTGAATGTGACAAAACCAGCGAGACACATTAAGGTATTTCTCCTTTTCTTGAACTGTCAGGTCAGCCTAAATAGAAAGATTAAAAAACACATAGAACATAAACATTACATAAGCATGGCTATTACTGTCATTTCAATAGGCAACAGAAATTGGTGTAAGGGGCAGTTATCAAAAGCCAACATATTTAGATAGGTGTAAAAGTTTCAGCCAGTTGGAACAGCTACTTGTTTAATACTTTTTATGTTAAGTTTAAAACCAAACAGGCTTTCTTAGGGAATTTCAAGTTCTTAACAAACGCAAAATGTATGTTATACCTAGGATCTGGAGGCTCAAAGAGTTTTATTTTGTTTTTTATTGGAAAAGAAAATAGGAGAAAGGAAGATAATAGCTTCCTAAAGACTAAGACATAGTTTTTTTCTCCAGTCTTCTTCTGGCAAACCTAAATAAATGTTTACTGATATTAAATATAACATACTTCAAAATATAAACCCATTTCCGTCGAGTTGATTCTAACTCATAGTGACCCTATAGGACAGGGCAGAATGGCACCACAGAGTTTCCAAGGCTATAAATCCTTACAGAAGGAGACTGCCACATCTTTCTCCTGCAGAGCAGCTGGTGGGTTCAAACAGCCAACTTTCTAGTTAGCATCCAGTTGTTTAACCAATGTACCACCCAGGCTCCTTGATAATATACTTAACAAGGGAATACTACGTAAAACTCAAATATATATATATATTTAAATGACTGCGAGTGTGTGTGTGCGCGCATGTGCATGTGTGTATATATACTACTGCTGCCTTTCTACAACTCCGGGGAAAAATCTCACTTGAGAAGACAATGACCCACTTAACTTCAAGTGATTATTGCTTAATATGAAAATGGTCTATCTTCAGGAGCATACAACTCAGATGAAGGAGGCTATGTAAAACAAGAACAAAAGGCTTTCTAATTTTTGTTTGAAATAAAGCTGCACTCTATTTTTAGTGGATGCAGCAATTCATGTAATTTAATATCAAATTACAAGAATGCTCCGAGATTTGGTTAGAGAAAATACAATAAAAACTATGGATGACTGTCATTTCCCTGGGCTCATATCTAGAGGTAGGTGACTCAGACTTGTCTTTAAGACAGATCTTCGAGTTATTCAGAGTTACTTAGATTAAGAGAGTCGGCAAGGCAGTAACTTACAGTCATGACCGTGCATGGGTAGTCTAGTTCCTCTCCTGTTGTTACTCTAACAGTTAATTAAAAGATATTGCAAGCTTCTGTAAAACTGACAGGAATGTTTCTACAAAGAAAAAAAACTCAGCCACCCAACATGCAGTTCAAACCCACTCCAAAGTCTGCTTGTTGGGAAGCTCTTTTAGTGATGGATGCTCTGTGGCTGTTCAGAACACAGCATATACTTGTGCCTACAGGTAAATACTGTACGGGATGCAGTAATTACTACAGAATAGGGGAGAATATTAACAATAAAATTAAAAGGTAGGGATATATTTTTTTCAAATAAATGTTTAACTGAATACATATTTCCATTTTATGTATTTACTAAAAGCAGTTTAAAAGGAAAAACTGATATATGCCATCCTGCCTTCCTTTTTGCCCTGATCCAACTAGGACACTATTTAACAGATCTCTGATCTTTTGACACTATTTTGGTGGTCTTCAATGTCTTTTTCAGTTGCCCCAGATAAGCAGTCAGCGTCTCACTGCTTTGGTTACATAAAAATTCAAGCTTCTAGTTTCAGTGATACACACTGAAGTCCTACATATAAAAGCAAACAGAAGTAACTATAAGTGTCACTCACATGTAGTTTCATGTCTGCTGCAGAGATATATGATGATTCAAATCTAGTCACTTTTCTACAATTTAGTCTTTTCAGAGATTTTTCATTAGAAAACATCTCTGCTCATTAGTCATTTTGTGAGATGTCATTTTTGAAAATGAACTAAAATACGAGAACAAAGCATTTCCAAACAATAAAGTACTAATGGTTGTTTGATCTACTGCTCAAATTGTTCACCCACATTTTAAACTTGGACTAAAAAAGCCCAACATTTGTATTTTAGACAAATTTACTATTATGAGGTCTTGTATATGGCTATTATTTTAAACAACAAATACAACATACAGCAAAATCATTATTCTCCAAATTAAAATGTTCACATTCAGTGTAAAGATACAAACAGACCAACAGTATAATTTTTATTCTAAAAGCTTTTAAAATTTCCTAGTTTAACAATTTTAAACTAAATGATCTATTTTTAAAAAAATGTTTCAGATGATCAGTTTTAGAGAATGTAAATTTGTTCATTTTCCCTCAGAAAATTTGGCCAGAAATAGGGCTTTTTCTGAAAGGATCAGGTTTCCACTTCAACCATCTTCTTATAGTTTTAACTCTGGAGCTTATCTTTTGAGTCTGGAAAAATTATGACTGACTTCAATTTGTTACCTCTGCTCCTTATTTTGTAGATATTCTATAAGTGAAGTTTATGTAAAGAAACAGCTAAAAGGACACTTTTCCTTCCATCTAATTTTCAGACGGTTTTTGATGGGATAATATTGGATTTCCATCATTCCTTTCAGCAAAAGTTATTATTTTTTTTTTTTTTCTCTTACAAAAAGAAACACTTCTTGGCCATAGCCAGCTACCCAGAGGGAGCGAGTAGTTGGACCTGTGGGCTCAGGACCATAGTTGCAGTGGACATCAAGCTCAATTGGCATAACATACTATATAAAACATTGTTCCACATCCTACTTTGGCGAGTAGCGACTGGAATCTTAAAAGCTTGCAACTGGTCATCTAAATGCAACGATGGGTCTCTCCTCATTCAGAGCAAAGAATGAAGAAAACCAAAGATTCATGGAAACAATTAGTCCAAATGACTAGTATACCATGCAATCCTCAGCCTATATGACTATGAGACCAGAAGAACTAGATGGTGCCTGGCTACCACTGTCAGCCACTCTGAGCGGGATCCACGTGTGGGAGAACAATGTGGAACAAAATTCAAAATCATTTGGGAAATAAAAGAAAAGGGACTAGGTTTGCTGGTCTGATAGAGCCTGATGGAACCACTGAGACTATGGCCTCTAGCTGCCCTTCAGGTCTGGAACTGAACCCACTCCTGTGGCTTCCAGCCAAACAAAAGACAGGCATGTGAACTGAACATTTACATTAGGTAGATACACTCCTTGGAGAGAATAATCATGGGAAAATAGAAGGGCTGTGTATGCACAGGGAGACAGCTCAGGGGGCAGGAGTGCATGGAGGGAAGGACACAGGGAAGAGGTAACTATGGGGAGGAAGCAGGAGGGGAGATGTTGCATTGTGGTAAACTTGTAGTCAATATTATGAAACAAAGTGTATGTGAGCTGCTGTATGGAAAGTGAATTTGCTCTATAAACTTTCACCCAAATCACAATTAAAAAAAAAGAAAAAAGAAACACAATGCAACTGTTCTAGTTACCATTTCCTGCTTCTCACTAGACTACATACCAGCATGTCTTTGGTGCCTGGCTCTACTGAATCCTTTACTTTTTCTCTATCTAGGCATTCTATATTAGTTTCAGATTCAAAGTAAAACAGATAATTAGTTTCAACTTGAAGGCCAGAAAGAGGACATTCTTAGTCCTTAGTTTTTCATGAAGGCATATGAGAAAAACTTGGAGGCCTCACTCCAAATCAGAAAGAGATGCTGAGCACTGCCTTTCCAAATGGCACCAGGCTGACGTTTGGACATTCTTTATGGCCCATGTTCCTGGATTGTTTTGCAGCTGTTTAATTTTCTTTCTTTGTAAAAGAACTACACAGTTCCATTTGTGCTTCAAACTTCAAAACAAATGTATCCTAGTTGATAAAAATGTTACAGTCAAGTAACACATAACATCACAAAGGAGTTTAATAATCTTCAGTAACAGTCTGTTCAGGAGGTTCACTATCTACCAGTGAAATCGTTTTTGAGAAAGCAGTGAGTCATTGGTTTTATAATAAATAACCACACAAACTGGCAGTTTAACAAAGAAAGCAAAACATAATATTCCTCAAAGGGAATTAAGATAGACCAGATTTTAAAATTAGAGTAATTTGGCCACAATTAAAATCAGGCTCACGCTGAAACAAAATACAGTGGGACTATTTGATAACTCAAGGCTCCTTGACTGCTATTTTGTACACTCTGCTGCTTGCTTATTAACTATTTCATAACATGAATGAATAAATGAAGAAAAGAATGCATGAGGAGTCCATATATAAATGTACCACCAATGCAAAGAAAGCACAGAGATACCCATGAATATGAGCAGGCAGCCAATCTGGACTTCTACTCTAACTGAATTTAATACCTAAGTATCAATTTTTTTCTTCTTTGTCTGTGTATATTTATACCTAAGTGAACAAGGATGTGATTTAATATCACAGTGTAGTTCTGTTACTGTGTAGGTTTCAGTGTGGGAGGCCTGAACTGGGAGGTATATTTCTCCTGTGCATATGCAGAGGGCAGGGGAGATGCTTTGGTTATGGACTCAGGACATCAACCCAGAGGTATGGTCAATAGAGTGATGTACACAATATTCCCCTCAATTTTGCTTTGAGAAAGATAAGCACAGTATCATTAATCATAATATCCTAATCACTACATACAAAGAGAATATACATTCCAAAATAGGAAATAAAAATAGGTGCAGGTTAGTACATATTCTTAATGTAATCTTAATTTTAACACACAGAACTGAATGAAACACCTCTAACATGCATGAAAACAAAATACCTGCTAGGGCACCTAGACTTGTATAATTAAAGAATAAGTGGGCAGCTGGTGCTATAAATATTTGGCATTATGGAATTATGACCTTGTTCACTGTTGGCAAAAAATTCTACACAAATACTCTTTTTCTTAGAGTATTTGCTTTCCCTACTGCCAGAAGAAAAAAATATAAATATATACTTTGTTTGCAAGGCCTACATTTCACTATTACCTTTTTAATTTTGTTGCATGGGAGAAATTTTCTCCTTAATGATAGCTTGGTGCTACACAAACCCAGATCTCATGATGTTCCTAAT